CTAAATAATAACAATAACCAACATGATACATTCCATTATGATTATTCATCTTTGCAGATTTTTTATAATGAATAAATGCTTTATTCTTATTCTTTCCCGCTCCAATTCCGTGTTCGTAACAATCATCAAGCCAAAGTACCCCCATTTGCATCATTCACATCAATGAAATTCAATTGATTAAAAGCATCTGCAAAACGTTTGAATAATTTATCTAATGAGTTATTGACTTTTGTGTTTGACAATTATTATATGTTATGTAAGGAGGAAATAATTTCATAAAAAATCAGAACATATTACCTTATCAAATAATTTTTTCTAAATACTGTTTATAGTAGCACTTTCATACGCATATATATTTCATCACCTTGTGTATCAATATTTGTGGATAGTATGTTGTTCTACTACTTCAGACACTTGAAATCACATTTAACCGAAATTTATTCACTAAAATTAGAGATTACGTCTGAAATGACCACTTTGAACATAACAAGCAGATACGTATGAAAAATTGTGACAGTCTTTGTCGATAATTGAGCTAATTTTGAGTTAAAGCTACGGTTAGCGTTAGGTCAGATAAAGTTTATACGAAAGGAATTTTTTTGTCGATCATAATCGATAAACCTCGTGCATGTAATACCATGAAATCCAATATTTTATTTCCTAAACTATCGACTTCAATAAAGCGTTATTTATATATACGTACACAATTGAATGATGCTAATAATTTAGGAAATGCAGTATTTTTCTTAATATTATACTTGTTTATACTTTGTCCCTATAAAGGAATTGTAGTTTTTGGAATTTTTTTGCGCAACACATAAATTGTTATTGTATAGTATGAGAATCATATTTAAGTTGAAACGAAAGTACAGTATATTAAAAAGCTTAGCTAAGATATAAGTAAAAGAGATAAATAGAATCATGTATCATAGTAATAAGAGTCTGGTAGAATTCGTGACAATTTACACTAACCATAATTCAGGCCAACTTTATTGAGAAATTTAATTTACACTGAAGTAGTGTAGTTTCGGAATTTGTTACATTTTTCCGACATATATGTATATCTAATTTTACACACTGGGCTTGAAAAACTAATATAATACTTAGTCAAGCATATTAAGAAAGATCGACAAAAGTGTTCTTTTTTTTTAGATCCATATCTGAAAATTTCAAATGATTATTCTTCACCCACCAAATTCTTAATGTTAGTATTTTTGCATCTCGAAGCAAGAAATGAACCCGTTTTCTTATTCCCCCTTTTCTTTTTCTGTAATGACCTTTTTCGTAAGTATGACCTTAGTGCTGCATTTATAAATTCGGAAAAAGTATTTTTCGCGGAATTCTACTTTAAAAAAAATCCGAAATTTTGTTGTGAATCATTTTTTTCAAAATAAAATTTGAACATAATATGGATATATTTTTACGTGGAATATAATATAATATGCTGCTGACCTCATTAATGATAGTTTTTATGGTAATTTTTGATTGTTATTTCATAGTTTAAGAATACTTGTTGGCAAATATTTGTTTTTCGTACTTAAGTAATCGTTACACAAAATTTCGATGAACAAATTGGAAGAAAACTCTGCGTATATTAATATAAAAATTTGTGAGAGTAAAAAATTTTATTTATACGCAATGACATAAGGTTCAAGCCGAGCTGCATTAATGCAAGTTCATATGATCATAAGCTACATGAATATATGGGTGTTTTCAATAGAAACAGCCCATTTTTACGATTGAAAAATGAGTTTTTAACATGATTGACATTTTTCAATTATAAAATGAAAATTCGATTTTCATAATAAAAAGATCGAGATAATCTAAAAGAAAAATTAAATGAGAATGCGTTAGGCCATAGTCGCCTGTACTTTAACCAATCAAACTTGTGAACTTTGATTAATCCCGAATCAGTCCGAAACACGCCATATGTCGGCTTTACCCGAAAAAATATTTTTTTTATGCCAATTATAATTGAATAATGTAGCCAGCACCAAAGTTTACCCGAATATTACAAAATATTTTGTCTATTATAAAAACAACGAATGATCCTCATATATCCTGATCCTGCAGTTTGTAGATCATATATCTTATTACGTATTGAATTAACTTTGTAATCTAATTAGTTGATTTGCTATATGATTTGTTGAAAATAACGTATAACTGTTCCTACTTCGAGTAACAGGAACGACCGTTCAAATTCGTAGATATTCCGATATAGTTACACAATTGATAAATCATTTTTTTATACGTTTTACAATACTTCTTTTAAAGGCCAGGTAACTTAACTTTCGACGAAATGAGAGTAAATTTAACGGATGAATTAAATGCTTCCTTTTCACCTTATAACATATTCTTTGAATCCCCGTGAATCCACGGCTTTTTTTTACAATCTGATTTGCCGATTTACTAAAATTTGAGATACGATTGGTTGATAATCATGTGTAATTATAACGGAAAAATCTACGAATTTGAACAGTCACTCCTGTTACTGAACTGCAGATAAACCGGGTGAATATGAAGTCATATACAATGTAATGAAAGTTATTCACAGTAATTAATACAAAAAATTGGTTCCACACAATTATTGGGTTAAATTAATCGGAATAAATGAATTCTAGCACCTTAAATTCTCGAAATAGCGGGCATGAGCGTTAATATGAATGAATTAGTATTACATGTTGTATTGGTAATATATGAATATACAGCGGTAAATCAGGAGAGTTTCGAAATTAATACTTTATCTCGAAATAACGCCCTAGGCGTACCTTAAATAACGCGTACGTGGTCAAAATAGTGACGGATGCCCGCTATTTTGGTATGCAGTATTTGTGTGATACCAAAGGAAAATCAGACTTCTAGCTTTCAAGTTTATTATTTGAATCAGTATTTACTGCGATTCATATGAAATTTACATACGTATCATTTGCGTCTCAGGTCAGGGCCGAGTCTAGTAAATAATAGGAATGGTAAAAAATCGCTTTTTAATTATTTTCATGTTCTTTTTTTTTAATTTGATTTAATACTGTAATAAAACATTGTTGATTATGGTGTTGATGGATGAAGCCGAAATTACTGTATCTAATTAGTTAAATTCAATTCCAATATCACCATTAGTTTGTGTTACAAAAGTCAAAAAGTCAAAAAAGATTCGAATTTATAATCATGATTATTATTATTAATCATGATATGAATATCAGTGACGATATTTTAAATCATGTAAAAAAAAACATTTTGAAGCAATATAAAACTGGTTTAAAACATTCTATTTCAAATCATTTTTAATTTGGCTAGTAAATAATGAATAATTGGGGATGGTAAAAAAACCATTTTTACCGATTTAAATCATGCGATGCATCATAACCTGGATATTCTGAGGCTTAAATTTAAATCCTAATCATCACATGTTTTAAATACCTAATCAGAACTGTACAATAGATATATATATAGAAATTTATGATATCATTTAGTTACATCTATATAAAAAATTGGGTTAAAAATAAGCCGTAACTAGTAATGTAAATAAGTCTTGTTATGGATGTTAAAATGCTAAAATAAAGCAGGTTTAAAGCATAAAATTTTGCTTGCTTACAAATCTGCTTGAGTTTTTTATATAAATTGGTACATCTTTATAATAAAAACTACTTTAGACCTTATCTCGAACAACTATTAACGTTAATAAATTATACTTATGTTATACGTCTATTTGTATCTTCATAGATATTTATGTCATTTACCTTTTTCGTAAGTGCAAATCACAACAAATCCTCATTAGCTCTAATAGTAATTATTGATGTATTAATTTAAGGACGACAAAGAAATTTACTTAATATCTTCTTCAGCCATCAGTTCTTATATGTATAAGAGGTAGTTTGGGAGTAACAATATCTTTTGTACATGAGAGACTATTGATGTTATACAACTAATCCGACACCTGGTGTGCAATAAATAAAACAATTAATTTATGTGTTGCAAACCAGGTGTCAGATTAGTTGTATAATATCAACGGTTTTTGTTGTTTATTTTCTGTGTTCCAATTCGGATGTCCGTCCGCAAAACATTACATTATGCAAGCTAACCATAATTATGGCAACTTACCTGAATAGTAAGATTTACATTGCGCAGTTTCTCACAAATTCTGTGCAGTTGGTTTATCCGAATCTCGAATCGCTGAACCTATTTACCTAGTTGATTTATAACTATTAGACCGAGATTATGATTTATAACTATTAGACTGAGATTATGATTTATAAAATTTTATTATTGAAAAAATACCTTATTGCAATTCAAAATGAAAAAAAAGCTATAATAAGTATAAAATACCTTTAGTTAAAATTAACGGTTTTGGTTACGTATTTCCCAATAAAGCTGACAATGGATCAATAACAAAATTTGAATTACACAAACCTAGATTATACCAGAATGATCCTTTTAAAAGACGTGTTAATTTAATGCGTAACGGTTTTAGTCTTTATTTCCAAAAGAAGAAGCCGAAATGGTTATGTTGAAAAACTTTTGTGTAACACTCGCATTGATCACGTACAAATCAGGGCATGACGTTTTTCCGAAACGTTACGTAGTAGATTTTAGCTTTTTAGTAACTATATTATACAAATACCAAATTGTAGAAATTATCAAGTGTTTTCGAGCAACACTTTTTTAATAAGATTGGTCCATGATCGAGATCAATTTAAATCTATTCTTATAACTATTTTGCTGAATAAATATTTCTTGATCTCAACTTTATTAATAAAATTTTTTATGTAGATCTATACCGAGAACAGGCGTAATGATAAAATAACCTTTGCAATATACAATATTTTGACTAGCATTCATTATTTCTATTGTGCTATCATATTAAACATAGATGAAAAAATAAAATCATATTTAAAGCTTACATAAAAATACTATTATTATGTATACAGTAGCATGATTACATAGATTTGCATTAAATGATACTTCTTTGAATCTTGAATTTTTGATTATTAATGCAATTATTTTCATTCATAGATTTTATTAATTAAAAGGTATTCCAAATATTGTATCCGTGCGAGAAGTTGTTTTACGAGAGGATGTCTGTATAAATCGGTTGGAGAATTCCATAAAGATTGATAATATGAGTTAGAGTAATTTCCATTTTCTGGAGTTAATGGAATAGAAAGTTCTGATTCAAGACTTGGACTTTTATTATATTCAAACTTTGAAGGATCGTAGTTTGTAGTAAGTGGTGTAGATTGTGTATCATTCATAGGAGTAGGTACAAAATTAAAAGTATTTACACCTAACATTGCGTCGATATTTGTATTAGATATTGAAGTTGAATCATAGTTATTAATTTCTTTTTCTACACATTTTTCCTGATCATCGTTGTTATCGACACGATTTGGATCAAAATAAAGAATTCTTAAACCTTTACTAGAATTATCTTTATTCATTTTATTCAAATCATAATGTTTATCAGAGACAACACATAAAGGGGCAACATTTTTAAATAAAAGTTTTGCATCTTCAGCGAGTTTTCTGTAGGCATTCTTGACGTGTTCAGTTTCATGATTCCAACTCTCACTAGCTTTCGTCGAAATCTCTTTTAAAGATAGATCAAGCTTCAATTTTGATATCTCACGATTAAAAACTTTACGATAAATAATAAATGGATTAGGAGTTCTATTATATTTAGAATCAGAGTTACTAAGTGATTTTGAAATCAATTCATCGATTGTAACTTTTGGAGGAAATGATGGCTTAAAATCATTTATAATTGAGGATCTTGTGGCTAACGTAGGAAAGGAGGTCGCAATAGTTGTTTTTTTATTGCGATACTTAGGCATGTTAATAAAATTCCAAAAGAAAAAAAGAAAAATATAAAAAATCGCAAATATAGAAAAAAGAAAGGACAGTTTATATGCTGAATAAAAGTACCCACGTAATCAAATTTTACATACAAGAAACTAAATACCACAAGGATACTTTATTCCGCTTCAAGTGATTATCCCTTTATCATACACAAATATGGTCATTTTTATGAGGATAATTAGCCGAATTTTTGAACGTGTCTTTGAATGACTGATTGTTTTATCTGGTAAATAAAAATCAGCTATAAATGGGAACGGTACTTATTTGGATTTTTTTGAAATTTCTTTATCTTAATTTCAGAGTAGAATTTATTTTATATAAAGAATTTTAAAATTTTTTGAGCCGCAGTTCATTTTGCATAGATGATTTTGGTAGGCATAGAATTTCAAACCGAGACCCTCAAGTTTTAGAAGCACGTCCATATGACGTTTAAGCACGTGTGGAGTGCGCTTACGTACGTAATACGTAATACATGTGCGTGCGACCTTTTCTTTATCTAAAAGACTTTGTTTTATCAGGGTCCGAAATACAATTTTGTGTTTCCAAACTAGGAAACAAAAAAATTCAACCTGAAACTAAGAAGTTTTAGTACTTAACTTTAGTTAGCTAAAAGAAATAAATCGTATGATAATCACCGATTAAATTGAATTTTACTATATAAACACACCTAAACACCTAATTCTGTGATACTAATCTACTCTAACTACAATGACCTTGACATTAATTTGTTACTTTTAAAGGAATAATCATTTGGAATGAATTCACATGCAATTAAAATTAGAGATTGGGTTCTATAGGAGTTTAGAAAAAAATAATTCAAATATAGTTTTTACACGTTATACAAGTTCTTAATATAGCTCATGGATAATGGTTCATTTTGTTCTTTGTTTAATGAAAGATAAAAATGAATATCTTTTGTTCCTATACACGCGTATTCAATTGAATTTTATATAAATACAGTTAGATATTGTTATAGTCACTCTTGATATAGTCACAACCTTTTTATAATCACCAAATTTTTATTTCCCGACCTGGTGATTATATCAAGGTCCGACCGTACTTGTCATAATTTAGAGTTAATCTTATATAAATATATCAAAAATCAATTGCCAATATACAAAATTACCAGGGATTTAAAAATGTAAGGCATAAGATCGATCTGATTTTCGTGGAACAAATCTATTAAAAGAATTTAATAATGTACGTACGTATGTGAACGCATTTTGTACTGCACATTTTATAAAGAAGGAAGTAAAATGCTTTATATAGTATTTCTTTTATGTCTATCATATATGTAAATATTTTAACGAACAAAGAATCGGAGTTTGGAAGGCGATTATGCACAAAATTTAAACCGATCCTGTTCGACATATTTTTAATTACGTACGTACGACGTGCTTTAAGATCTTTATTTGTTGCGTCCTGCTTAGAGATGGACATCATGCACCTTATCACTGCATGATGCCAATCTCTAATTCTGTTATGCGGTACATAATAATAATATAGGGTTATACAAATAGATAACATTGTTTTGCTACATATGTACATAGTATCTAAGATTCTTATTTTCAAACAATCCAAATTCGGAGATTCGGAAATGGTAGGCATATATGTATAAACTTATATAAATATAACATCTCATTTCCCCACTTCACAAAGGTAAGATTCCTTATGTGTTCTTATGTATTTTTACAGGTTTATTATGCAGGTCTGAATTGATTGATAATCAAATGGGCGACACCAAGAGACAATTAAACTTTGGACTTTCAAATTTATTATTTATTATTTACTAGACTCAACCCTGACCAGAGACATATATTAAATGTCATATGTGTCGCAGTCAGTACTGAGTCAAATAATTAATTTGAAAGCTCCAGGATGATCTGCATGATTGAGAGATCAGAAAATATGACAACATCTTAGAAAGATAAATACAGGTCACCTTCGTTAATATCGACTTAAGCCACATGACAAATTTTTATGTCAACTTTAATATGATTTCTCATTAATATCACTATTAACATAATTTAAAACCAATTCAAATAGGTTAATATTAACGATGGTGACATGTACTATCACATATATTCCTGTAACTTATGATCATATGAACTTGTATTAATGCAAACTTGGCCCAAATCTTATGTCATTGCGTATAAATGCTTGTTTTCTTAACGTTAAATGGATATAATAAAAATCACAATTTAAAGGACTAACCTTTTTTTATTCTCAAAAAATTTTCCTATCAATATACTTAGAATTTGATTTATTACAACACCTACTTTATTTATCGAATTTAAAGAATCCTTAGTGTAACTTTATTGCTTAAGTGCGAAAAACTCAACCAGCAAGCTTGCTTGCACTACGTATAATAATCAAAAAATTACCATAAAAAATTATCATTAGTGGAGTCAGCAGCTCATTATATTCCATA